TTCCAGAATCTGCGCTACAAAATTTTTTTTTAAACAGGTGTGGCGCGGTCTGAAAAGCCGTACAAGTGTCAGGGTACGGGACATGAAGAGGCAGCAAGCGTTAACCGGCAACCGGCCGGTTAATCAACAGCCCATAACAGAGGTTGAGAGGCGAGTTATGGCGCTCATCGGCAGCGAGTACATTGAGGGCAATGGAAGAGTTGTCAAAAATGTGCCTGTGGAAGAGGTAATATGGAGTCAGGTGATATTTTGATTCCTCATTTCTAAAGCTTTTTATATTCCTCAATCGAATTTGCAATTGCATTTGGAGGATGGAGACGATAGTGTTACCTCCGTACTACCGACTACCACAGCAGCTGACGATGGCGAGGTGATGTGTGCGACACCCCGTATTCCTGCTAAAAGGACTCCGCGTAGGAGTCTAAAAAGGAAGCGAGAAGATGAGGAGAAGGAGATGCAGGCCAAGTTCCTGGAAGTGTCCAGCAAGCAAGCAGATGCTTGAAAGGTAAATTCTCATTAAAACTATTAATGTCTGTGCGTCCAGTACTAGGTATAATGTAGGATTCACGTTTGTATTAAAACTAAGAAATATTTTTTATCAGACTTACCTCTCTATTCTAACAGAGACACAAAACTTAGCTCATCACTGTTGTGATTTCAAGTGTGCCGAGAAATGTGTCACAAAAAATTAGATTTTGAGTGCTAGAAAAATACACAAAAATTTAAAAAATTGAATTGAAGCGGCATATTTTTTGAGCGGCAAGCTTTGAGGCGCGGTAGAAATCACAGCAGTGATGAGCTAAAGTTTGTGACTTTGTTAGAATACGGCTGTTAATCTGAATATTGTGAGAGCATTTATAGAATCAATATTACCTCTTTCACGCTCAGTGACCAATAATATATGTGCATAAAAGTCGAGTGCATTATATCATAGTAAACTTAACCTCCAGATTTTACTAGTCGTTCTTTACGAATACAAATAAATTAAAAAATATTATTGACTAAATGTCGATTAAATAAATTCTTTCATTATTGACTTTTGCATTTTTGTTTTTTTTAGCTGCTAGCTGAATGTAGTGCCGCCAATACAGAAACCAACAAATTGATGGTTGAGGCGTTTAACAGATTGGTGGACGTCATTAGCTCCTGGACTTAATATTTTTATAGATATTTTTAATTTAAGCTACATAAGCATTAACTATTTTAACTTATCACAGCGCGAGTGACGAAAGCAGCCACAGTAGCATGCTGAAATGACTCGCTTATATATACACGAGATTTGGAAGGTTTTATCCCGACATCCAATCGACATGTTTCAGATATCGTTGGAAAGATTGTAGAGCGTGTCCAGAAAATGTATTCAAGCTTCATAAACGATTAACCGGATTCTTAAAAGTTCGGCTAAAGTGTTGCGAAACAAAAAATGTTTTTTTGCTTTTGCCGGTTTAAGGGGGCATGTGGGCACACCCAACATATTTAGTGTTATTCTATAGGCCAATACCTTTAAAACGATATATATTAAGTTCCGGCCACTAGTTGGAAAGATATAGAGGTAAATATGTTTTGGTTCGTGTCTCCACTACGAGATGCTTTGGTATGTATGTGGCGTCTGTACGTACCTTCATTTAATTTTTTTTAAACTTTCAGGAATTAAAGTACAAAAAAAACTAGGAAGGTTTTGTTCCAGGATGTTTTGATTCGTATGCCTTTGTGGGCGTGGCTGCTGCCTGAAATTCGAAAAAAGGCAATTTTATAAACTACCACTGGGGCCGGACTACTCAATCCATGTCATTGATGTGGACATCAGTAGAAGGGTCTTCAAACAAGCTATCTAACGCTATCTTTTGTGTTTATAAAATATAAATATGTCATAACGTTATCGCCTGAAAAATTAAAAGCGGGCTGCTGAAAATATAGATTTCGGGCATTTTCTCAAAAACTGGTCAGTCGATTTTATTCTCTGTTTCCTCAAGTCTAGCCCAAAACTTAAGCTTTTATTTGGTATATAGCTTATATCTGGAAAAACTCCTGTTGTGGAGATATGGCGATTCAAATTGAAAAAAGTCGCCCCAAATAGCGACCAATGGTTTAAAATTAACATATGCGTCTAATTTGGTTACTTTAAGATATAAATAAAGTTCCCCGAAAAAATTGCCTATTCCCCGATTGCCACTTAAACCGAAATTCCCTGCAAATCGGGGGGATTTCCCGCGAGGTGACAAGTTGAAGGATGTAGCTGTGCTAATCACTTCATACATGTCTTGGAAGCCACAATATATGTGTATTTTAGAGTTTTTTTCAGTCACATGCCGAAATTGTAACATTTTTCGCCATTTTAATTGCAGGTATGTACACAGTATTTAACTATGCTACATGGGTTTATCACCCGCACTTAATCTACCTGGGAAGACGCGTACTACATTACCTACAGTTGTAAATATGTACATAGGTATGAATGCATTTAGTTCGCCCAATATGCCGCTACTACTACGTACATATAAACATATATGTATAAATTGCCACGAGTGCAACACCGTACACGTGATAGAAGTAAAACTCCTTAAAAAAAGCACATGTGTGCGCCCCACACCCGGTAGAAATCTTAACAAAAATTAACTACGAGACTATCAGACGAATACAGTTGTTAATTGTATCCAAAGTTGGTACCAAGTTGATAAGTTTTTATCATTTCTCATAATTGGCTTTTAATTTTTAATTATTTTGAAAACAAAGGATAAGATCATTATTTTTCGCTTTATCCCGTATTCGAAAAATTATATGTTTCAATGGACAAATCGATTTGAATACATAATTTAGATTTAGATAATATTTTTAGCAATTTAGCATAAATAAAATTTTTTTGTGGGTTCTATGCATGAAATAAGCTAACACGTGTTCGAGG